AATCTCACAGATTTCAGGAAAATGTTGGCACTACTATACTGTCTGTATGTCTGTAGTCACATTCAGTTCAAGGCAAATGTGCATTAGAACTTGCTAGGTAAGAAAAGAAAAGACAGCTATTATGCACTCTTCTACCTCCCTGTGTGAATATTTAGTGGGAATATTTAGCCAAGACACATTTGGGATTGTTGGTTTTTGCTTGAAGTGATGTATCGCCACAATTGAGGGAGCTGTGGTAGAGAACAGGTACACAAGGTGCGCCTACATTGTGTAACAGTCCCTCTGTGAGACCACAGAGTGACTAATACATCTAGTGTATTATGCATCCTGGATACAAAGATGTGACATTTAGAGAATACGAATTGCTTTGCCTTGGTTCCCAGTCATATTTAGCTATTAAATTACACTCTTTTATCATTAACGCTGCCAGCCAATTAAAATGCAAATACCACAGACTTCATGCAAAACACTGGATAGCTACTGATTTTCAGTTTATATTTTTCAATTTAGGGCATGTATCAGTAATCTAACCTATTACCCAAACAGCTCAAAACTCTATTCATCTTTTACATCTTTTCATTGTATTTAAAGGACAAACCTGGAAGACAGAAATAACAAAGTGAATAGACTTTATTGTAGCAGACACATGGGGTCATATTTCAATCAATAATAAAGTAGAATGCAATGTGTGCTGGGAATATATACGTTGTCATTCCAACCCAAGACTGAATCAAGAGCTTTTTCTCACTGAGGGCTAGTTAATCAGTGAAATCATCTGAAGTACTGTTTGATATACAAACCTACAATTCCATTAAAGGAACACCTCACTAATTTCCAATCTAATATCTATGTATTATTAGGATAGCATATCTGGAACTTTTTTGTGTGTGTTTTAAAACAATAGTCGGTTGCCCATGTGTACACTGAAACAGATTCAGCGTGTTGTAATTATTCCTCTTGTTCATACTGACCATGAAGAAATTCCTTCCTAATGCACTTTCAATGTTAGTGATGGAAACATCCCAAAGTTTATCTGAGCAAAATATGAAACGTCAGCAGTCTGAGTTGGCTAAATACAGTGGCTATATTACAAAGTTGCTGTCTTTTTAGGGCAAAATTCCTTAGTAGTGTGACTATCACTCTACCACAGCTCAGCATATACAGTAAACACTATCCAGGGAAACCAAAGAGGGGATATCATACTAAAACTTAATTTTAATAATTTTAATTTAATTGATTAATTTGATTAACTCAGACTTATGAAGCCTTATATTACCTTCACTTAAACCTGGGAATATATTTTAGCACAGAATCAGGACTGTGGCTTCTGTCCCCCATCACGCAAATTAGAAACTCATTAGGAAGAAATCTTTTAATGGCCAGTACGAACAAGAGGATGATCAGCAAGCAAAACCAATGGTCATCATTGTCACGAAGCTAAAAAAACAAACAAACAAACAACTAGTATCCAACCAAAACAATCCCTCCAAGCCTCCCTCCGAAGCCATTCTCCCAAAACACATTTTCATGCGCAATGAGTGCACAGTTAGACAGGTAGGCCTCCCCATCATTACATTCGGACTGAGCTGGGTGGTAGTAATTGACCCTTTGGTAAGCCACGCCCTGAATACACAGCTGGCCAATCACAGTGCAGTATAGGACTCACTCTAACTGAGGTCAGACACTTTCATGGATGCGCTCCATTGACTCTAATGCAAAGAGTATTTTCTAGCTTTTTCTGGCTATATTTTTCTAAGATATGGTCAAACGCTGTTCCTAGGACATTTGTAATAGTTGCAGTCACTAGCCAGAGAGGTTGGTAGGAGAGGTATGATTTATTCTCTTTAAAAAGCCTAAAATAAATCCAGAATAATGTCGGCAGTGGATTGTTCCATAATGTGTTGTTTGTTAGCTAACGCTAGCTAAGAATTAACTTCCTACTGAATGTAAAGTAATAAAGCCCTGCTGTTCTGCTTTTTCATGATTTTAATAGTGAATAGAGGCCTACTCAGCTTTACAGGAACAGTGTTGATCCATAATATCGTTGTCTTTTGTCTCAGTTTAGCTTCTATCTTTCATTTTTTTCACGTCCGTTGGAGTCAGTTTGACAGCCTGAATACAACCTTCAAATGTATAATTCAACTGCAAAATTGTCTGCTTCTTTCTGAGATCGCTTTTTTTAGCAAATTTGACAATATTTCTCCGGGAAGTGCAGTAATAGACAGTGGCAGCGCGGACAGATTGTTGGACATAGCAACAGTAACTAAGGGGGGCGGGACTTAGCGAAGGGTCAATTGGGCACCAATTTATTTTAGATTATCTTGCCTTAACCAGTGAAAAGGGTTTGCCATTAGTGCTGTATTTTGTTTTTGCCTTTTAAAAATGTTATTATGCTTTTCTCTGCAACAAATCCCATGAAGGCCAAAACCAACACTAAAGTTATTCTACTAGCAATTATTGTCTGTGTCTATTGTTATCCAAAAACTATTAATTTTCATCTGCTCTCAAACAGGTTCAAACTTGTTTGCCTCCAGATTTGTTTTCCTTGCAATATATTGACTATTAAACAGGATTTTACGAGGCAGGAGTGCCAAACATTGGTATCTGTTAAAAGCCACATGATCCTTGACTTAGACTGGAAAACAAAGGCTCCCTCTACAGAAAATGTTTTTTAATCATTTTCAGAGCACTCAGCAGATGAGTTTTTAAAAACAGGCATTTTTCTCCCAGCAAGAACACAGCAGTACGCATACACACACAGATACACAAATACATGTACGTGCACGAAGTGCCTGTGTATGCGCTTATACATTCAGGTATATTTTGGCAATCAGCACCCTCTGTCTCAGCCACAAACAGAGTCTTGTTGGGCTTTACAGACTCACGAACTAGCTAGCTCTCAAAGAATAAAAGAAAAAAACTATAGCACACCGTCTCCAATTCAAAAGCATAAACAAGCAAATGTAGGCGCTGTATCCATTTGTAAGGAGAATTCCCATTCTTTAGAAGAAGGTATCTGGTGTGTTCTGCCGGATTAAGAACACGGAGCACATTCAAACACAGCAGAGCACGCAGAAAAGAGTGAGTGCACTGAATCTTCAGAGGGCAAGGCCACTTACAAACAGCTGCTTTGATTGCTTACAATGAAGAAAGAGCCTGCAGCCCTATCAAAGCCATGAAATACATATTATTGCAAGACTGACTCCTTGTAGAGCAGAGCAGAGCAGTTATGGTATGTTCTCACTGTCTTCTGTGATTTCTATCCCTGCTGAACATACCTGCGTATACCATATGTGCCCATATACAACTACGTGAAAGCATGAATAAATCCTAAAAGGGCAGATAGCTTGTGACAGCACCGCAGTCTCTTAGATGTATGCCGGTGCGTACACCTAGGCATGGGCCCACCTAAGCTCACATGTTTAATCATTTCATATTACACTTTTTTCAGAATTGCACCTGCGGGAACGTAACTTTTAATCTGATCTCATGTATTACTTGTTCCATTTCACAATGTGCTTCATATTTAATATTGCACGTCCTCAGGCCCACATGCCTGCATGCTGCACACACAACGAGGCGATTGGAGATGGATTTACAGATTCTCAATTTTTCTGCTCTCTAAAAGCCAGAAGTTGTATATCCCTTTCAATACTTAAAAACTTATTTAGGCTAGTACTAAAGAGCCAATTTCACTTAATTCAAAACACAAATAAAATAGCAAACAGGTACACTACTTTAATTCTTCATTTCTTCAAGGAAAAATTGTTTCAAGAGTGAACTTGAGACTAAGCGGAGAAAAGCCTCAAAGTTTCTCACAGGAGAATCAGTACATGACTCATGAGAGTTTTGGCCAGTGATATAATTTGTGCTATTAGTTTACATTCTTCTTTAAAAAAGGCAAGGATGAGCATTTTTTTTCCATAGTAATTGAGTATGTTTTATGTGCACATGCCCGCACGAGGGTTTCAGCGCTGCCACAGCACTCTCTCTTGATGGATGGTCATTTTCATTGGCTTGCTCATGCTTAATGAACCCTGCAGTTCATGTCTTAATTGAATGCTTTTTATGCTCTCATGTTCCGCACTCTCCTCCTCTCTCCCCCTGGCACCAGGCCACCCCCCCCATCCCCCACGCACGCACAAGTCTCACCATCGTCCCTCTTCTCCCTGGCCCGCTCCCCTTATGAGGCCACGGGGGCACACAAACAAACAATGACACATGCAGAAATACACACCTGCTCACCTGCACACACATAACACTGTGGGGGAGATGGGAAAAGGGAAAGGCCAGCACCAGCAATGCTGACGTTTTCTTTTATCTTGTTGCATCCTTCTCAGAGGAATGCCCTTGAAAACCATCAGTAAGTTCATGGCGATGGAGCTGCTGCTGGAAATACCAAGCTTTTTAAGGCACAGCCCTCATTAGGAAAATGAAATATATTATACAGTATTTCATTTGTATCATTTCAGAACACACACACACATCGCAAGACACAGCTAAGCTCGAGCACCTCACTGCAGTGAAACTGCTGGACTGCTTTCTTTAATTTGCTCTTGGTTGTTGTGTTTTCTCTGTCTCTCAATGAGTCACTCTGCTCACAGCATGTCAAACAGGGCTGTGCACCGTCTTTCTGTACATCAACTTTCAATATCATACATGGAGTCCTTGTCTTTTTGAGAGTGTTCGAAAGTTCAGCGTAATTTATGCTTTTTTTGACCATGAGAAATAATGTTATTCTTCATGTTAATGTTCAAAGCATTTGGTGCATGTCATTACAGCTGATTTTCACCGCTTGCTTGTGTAATTCAGAGACCCGATGATCACCGTGCTTGCCTCCATTAGGGTGGTGTGGTGGGAAGAGAGAAAATATTCAGCCATTAGCTACTTTCTTTTTAAAAAGCCAGAACAGTTGAGGACCAACAATCACGGCTGGTAAACAGCTGTGAAACTCAAAAACTGTGCAAAGCGTTGTGTCAGCGTATGAGATAAACACAAAGTTCCCCAAAACAATTTTAATCGCTGCCATGCTTTTGAGGCTGTAAATCATTCCTGCCAGCTTCCAGCGTCTCATCGGCAACTTCTCCATCTCAGTGTCTCCATCATACAAATCAGTCAATTTGTCACTAGTCAACCACACCACTGAACAAAGGCATTAGCTGTAATCATTTCAAAAAGGCACTGTTAATCCATGTATTCAATACGGGAGTCACCATTTAACATACATTAACATATAATTGAAGTGATTATTATGCAATATGTATTCAACAAAAAGTGAAAATTAGCTAAAAGCTTGTTACATGCTTACCAGCTGCGAGTGCCTCTGCAAATTACGAGAGAGAGAGAGAGAGAGAGAGAGAGAGAGACACAGACAGACAGACAAACAGAGAGAGAAAGAGAGTGAGAGAGAGAGAATGAGACCTGCCATTAAGTGAACTACAGTAGGTCCTTGAGTTTCAGAAATACTAAGGTGGAAGATAATTCGGCCAGCGCATGCATTTTACACCAACACATTGCTGCAAAGAGCCTTCATCAGGGCTTTTTTGTTACAGCCTTAAATAAGGAAACCCATTAACTCTGAAGAAAACCCATTAACACTGAAGAAGCCAAAGAATGTTTATGTGTAATGTTTAATGTAACTTCTAATGTTGCAAAATAACACAGCTTAATAGGAAACTAACTAACTTCAAATTAATCTTGCAACTTGTTTGAAAATTGCTTACAGTAATTTTTGTTGTTGCTGCAGTGAGAAATTGCCGCAGCAGGAGTCGGAACAGACCGTTCGGCTGCTGGCCTCGAAAAATTACTTGGCATTTCAGACCGACCAACAGACACTTTTATAGATTTATTCAGCCTTTTCAGAAGAAAAAGTGGTCAAAATGATGTTAATGATGTTAGAAATGCATAATCTCTAACTCAATGCCAGCTAATACTGCCCTTGGTAAGCCATCAATTTGCTGGCTAGTACCGCTTTATACAGAAATCACTTCTGCTTTTGTTGGTAGAAATGCTCAGAAATGTTATTAACATGCTCAGAAATGTTACTGACAGTGATCATGTATTTTATGCGGTGTGAAGGACTAAAGGGTCAACATACCATCCACCATGAAATCTGGTCATTTCTGATTGGCTTCACTGCGTGGTAGTGTAACATGTCATGACAGCATGAGGAAGTGAGTGACATGTGAGTCTGTAAGAAAGCTGGCTTTTCACACAGCTGCAAAAACTGGCCATGATCTGGACTGACCCCATCTTAGAACTGCTTGTTGTTGAAGAGGTGTTTTTGTTACATCAGCAGAAGCTCCTTATCCTCCAGGCTAGCATAAATGTTAAAAGGTGGTTTTAGCATCTATTTTGGTTAATCAGTCCCACCAGGATCTCTTGGAGCTTTTTTTGCACTTATTGCAGACAATTATATTTTAATTCACAGCACTTTTTTTTGGAAGAAATTATGGTGTAGTTCAAACTTTTTTGTGTTTCACTTAGCCATAAACTTTAGTGATGTTTAAAAAAAAAAAAAAGTTAGTAAGTATGCTAAGTCACTAAGTACATTCACTCAAGTTTGTACTTTTTTGTACATTTGAGGAACCTGGATTTTTCTAGTACTCCCATTTTCTGCTATTTTATAACTCTCCTCAACCACATTTCAGAGATATAATATATATTGTGCTTTTTACTTCACTGCATTTGCCTGATAGCTATAGTTACTAGTTACTTTTCAGATTAAGACTGTACATATTAAACATATAATCTTTTTATAAAATATGATACAATGTCATTTATTGAACAGTTTAATAAACTGTTCAATTAAGCTCCAACTTAACCAAATTCATCATTAAGTACTGTTTACATGTTAATGCGGTAACAATAATGTTCCATTAATAAAGTAATACTGACACCAGCCATTCTGCATCATGAATAATATTACTACTTACTTTAAGTAGATATTGTTGCTAATCTTCTACAGTTTTACTCAAGTCAAATATTGCAACATTCCTTCCACCACTGCAAGTCAGCAGGAAAAGAAAAAATAGCTAAAAAAATATCCCTAGGTTTTGTTTAAATTTGCAAGCACTTTTGTGCCTCTCTGCTTTTAGCCCTATCACTGTGAAAGGAACAGTTCAGACTGTGTTAAAATGCTTCAGTCACACCATTTCTCGTTGTTACGCAAATCTGCTGCACCTGGGCCAATATTATCAAATTGAACACCTGCCACGCTGGCATTCCAAGTTGTGAGACAACAGCCTCCTTGTTCGTATTCAAATACGAGCGTCAGTGTAATGAAATGGATATTGCCAAGATGGAAGACAATTTGTCAGGCGCTTACTCAGAAAGTACAGATTTTATTATGGAGATTGGTCTGCAACCTGATTGGCGCAATGAGGTCAGTCGGAAAGTGTCAGACATTTGTTCTGCCGGTTGCCGATGGACTCTCAGATACCAGTTAACTTTTTGCTTAAAAAAATAAAGATTTCACCGTCTTTTGAAGTCATATCAACAGCAGGTCCTGACCAGATTACATAACCCTCTTCCCATGACAGGTGGTAATGATGCATATGAGCCAAAAGACATGCAAAAGAACAGATTGAATATCACAATACATCATTGTCTGCCACACAATGAAGTCAACGGCCGTGTTAATCGACCATCAGACATTATATCTCAGGTGACACCACAGACATCACAGGCCTAAATTTAATGAAGCTTGGAGGGATGATGTATCAGCACTGGGTTCTGGTGTTATAGAACATTATAGTAATTGCCCTGTGGGGGGCACTCTAATTGAACAGCAAAATTTGTAATTTTGATACATCAAAACTTCTACATGATCTTCATAAAACATGGACATCCTCTGTGCATAAACATGCTTCATCTTTTTTTCAGAGTTTCAAAACACCTGATGAGGATGTTAAATGTAAATGTCAAAATATAAACCCATATTTCAGACACCACTGGCTCGATTATAATGTGTCACAATTTGGGATTTTGTGTTGTGTTGTGTTATTTTTTTTTTTTTGTATACCCTTCCTCTTGTGTCTGTGTTCACTTGACTTCCTGCTCTTTTGTTCTCCCGCTTGTTTGTGCCTCCCCAATTGATTTCACCTGTGTATTGTTCATCACCTCCCTCTTGTGCATTTAACTCTGCGTCTTCTAATTGATTCGTCTTTGTGTGTTGGTCAAGCGTCTCAGCCCTCCCTCTGTGTTCTGTATGGATTACCTGTCGCCTTTATCCCTAGGTTTTTATATGATTTTTTTATTCTCTTTGGATTTGTTTTCTGTATGTTTGGACTACCTACTTGTATTGGACTCGTCACCGACTTGTGGTTTTATTTAAATAAATATCATAAACTGATCCTCCTCTGCCTGTGTGTCTTGTTTTTGGGTCTGATCCCTTTTCTTCTTATGTCTACGCATGGCAAAATGTGATAAAATGTTGAACAACAGATGCCCTTTACAGTTCTTTAACATTACAAAAATTACAAAAAAAGATCAACTACACATGATAAAACCCAAATCATTTGCATATTTGGAAGACTCAAGCACTGGATACCATGATTTTTTTAAAACTTTGGTTTGATTGGTTAATTGCAATTAGTTGTCTTATTATCCATTTTGACTGTCTGTTAATCTGTCACTTTCGATCAAGCTGATTATGTAGATGGTGAGACAGATCCTTTGAGTAGTTGACAGGACATTTTAACAACCTTCAACTTTAGCATAGAAAAAAACACTAAAGAAAATTTTCCACACATTCATGGGATTATTCAGAAAAAGTGCTCGTGTTAAAAGGATTTAAAGAAAACCTGTCCTTGGCCCATTATGCACAGTCTGAATGAATGCAAAAGATGTGTTTAGCTAAGCTTTTTTCTTACTACTAGGGGCTGCCATCAGAGCTAAAATGCTCATACATTTTAGTTGTGTCTTTTATGTCAGTTTGTGTCTTCTTTCAGCACTTTCGCAGTTGTGTCCTAGTTGTAAAAAAGCATTGTAAACATTTTTTGAGGACGATAAGGCAGGATAGAGTTCTTTTAAAATGATGTGTGTACATGTGTATGTAGGGGGAATAATAGCGAGACCAGATGTGAATGGCCGCCGATGTTCCTGCTCATCATCTCGGTCAAACTCAGAGGATCCCTAGTTCAGAAAGCAAAATGACTGTGAAGAGCATCGACTGTAGTAAAAGACTGTGGTATTAACATTTTTTTCGCACTTGTCTTTTTTGTGTCCAATTTAGTAAGTCGTTTACACAAGAGTGTGTTACCGTTGCCTATAGGCATGTTGCTATGATTCGGTGATTCGTGAAATACCGCGTAATGTGTTAGTTATTGACTGGTGCTGCTAAAATTGGCTAGGTCGATGTGGCCTTCACTTGTCGTGTTGTGTGGCATATGAAACGGATCCAACTCAGGTTTTCTTGTTTTTTTAACGGATAAGACTTTGATCTGAGTCCTGAGCTCCGACTTCTGAGGTAAATGGAACGTAGAGTAATAGCTTGGCCTACTAACTGCTTGGTTAAATCAGATTGTAGGATAGTGAAAAATGGCACATCTACAATGGCAATCTAAAATGATTAAATTATTATTAAATTTCTAAAAGGAATAATAGGACATTTTGAGTTAGTCAAAGGCTAGTCTGCCTTTGTCAATAAGGAGTTATACTGCAGTGTTTCCCGCATAATCTTTACTTGGGCAGGCCACCCAGGTATATTTGGCGACCCATTTTAGCATTTTGTAGAGAAACACAGAGACAGTTGTTTTTCTACCTGTCTACCTATCTATCTATTACAAGACGCTGACACGGTGGATATTTTACAATCACTGACCAGGTAAAGCAACAGTGAACACACCAATGCAGATGTCATTCATTAGCTGGCACATTGGTTTTGTTTTGATAGACACTGTTATTAACAAGCTCCCTATGCATGGGGTGCACCTACTGCTGAAAATGGAACATCCACTCCCCTGTCGCCCCCAAAGTTGTCTGTAATTCTTTGAAAAACACTGTAATAGGTTAGTTAATAAACTTTAGTGGTGCTGGTTGGTAAAAAAACCTTTTAACCTTTGGACAGAGCCAGGCTAGTTGTTTCCTGTACTCCTTGTCTTTATGCTGTTAACTGTCTCCTGGTTGAAAGTTCATATTTAGCTTACAGACATGAGAGTAGTGTCAGCCTTCTCATCTAACTCTTGGCAAGAAAGCTAATAATACTTCCCAACACGTCAAACTGTTTTTGTTTTTTTTTTAGAGGTAACAGCCATATTAGAGTATTTTATTTGCAAGTAGACAGTGTCTATTGCATTTCCCTGAAATCTATTCTCTCAGCTGCATGTCTTAAAGGTGCTAAAAGTAACATCACTTGCTCATCTGCCAGAGGCTTTTCTTTTTAAATGACAAAAATGTTTAAGACAAATGTCAAATTTGCACCACATCTTCTGAAACTTTTATACCCAGCAACCTTTTTTTATATTCAGCAAATAATAACTTTTGACATGTGGGTGAAAAGTGATCATTTTTCATTAGCTGAAGATTATTTTATGACAAGACAGCATCACAGAAATACAGAAGAGCAGCTCTGTGCCAATGCAGAAGAATTCAAACAATTAACTGTCATGTGTTTACATTTTAATATAAGAGTGATGAGTAAGAAGTAGAACTTTGCTTGTATTTTTTGACTTAATACCCGCCATACACCTCTCCGTCTCCTCCTCCTCCTTCAATTTCTAATCAATCTCTTCACCTGAATAAAAGTTGACGTTTGAAATTTGAGGGCAGAGGGAGGAAGAGAAGCCGCACTGTTTGAGCTTCTCTAATTTCAATCAAATGAGTTGGAAGGAGCCCATCCTGCAGTTTAGCGCTGGGCCCTCTTATGGATCAATGACCTCTGAGCCTTGATAATCTCTTCAATTGATGGGTTGCCTCTTTAATCATTACTCCAGCATTAACCAATCAAACATCTCTTCAGTAAACAAACACCCCAAATAAAGACAACCCCGGAAGTTTGCTCCCAGAGGAGACACGAGTGATGTGAAGAAAGTATATAAACTGAAATCCCTTTTGGAAGAGAATATCAAATCATAAGAATGCTTAATATTTCACTGGCTTGATGAAATATGCATTGTAGCCCAGAATGGAGGAAAAATGCAATGATTTGGATGCATTATGTATGAGAAGGTCCGCTGGCGAAAATGACTGCACTGTTGAATAATCGCCATTTCACTATCACCACAGCACAATGAGATTTTGTTATTACTACGCATCACTCAATTCATTTGGAAAGTGCATACAGTTGGAATTTTGTATTTAGGGCCTAACTTTTGTGTGCATAGCATACAGATGCTCACTAATGAACTAAAGCACTGACTGGGACGTGGCCTCTGCCTCACTTGATTAATCTCATTGTGTGTTCATTCCCAAAAGAGCAGTATACAATTCATAAAAGTCTCTGATCATCATCAAAATAAAACTATAGTTGTATGAAACAAATTTTTATTAGGAAAAAATGACGGATTCTAGTGCATTTTAATAATGTCCAACAATGTCTTCAGTAGAAACACAATCACTTCAGCCGTCACACTGGCTGTCAACACATGTGGCTGTGTTTAGACAGGGTTCCCTCCCTGAAAAAAAAGAAAGAGAGAGATGTGAGTGCACATGACATTCAGTTTAATCTGTTTTACACACAAATATACAGTGTGAAGTAAATAGCCACTTCTCTTTTGTCTTTTTGAATTTCAAGTCAACTTTAAGGATCACTACATTTTACGTTGACCAGGTGGACACAGGAGACAGAACACACAAATATGCAGTAGCTACTGTCTTAGTTGATATCATTATCACTGTCAAGTGATGTTTGATGTAAAAACGAATGATGATGTCTAAATTAGAAAATAAAAGAAATATTAAATAAATGAAATGAACATTTGAAAGCCTGAGTTAAGAAGCTGTTAACTGTTAGCTATTAAAGTTTGTAGAAAACTCTCCCTAAAGAGACTAAATTGACATGTTTCGTCTGTAATAATAGTGTTGCAGTAGGACATAACATAGTAAAGGATCATTTCAAAGTGTGATTCAACTAGAAACCATTATGCCATGGTGCTGCTGTTGCTCTACCAACTGAGCACAGTTTATATCAGTATGGCCTCATTGCCAGCAAGCTCCTGAGTTGACCACTCTTAACCCCCAGTAGCAAGCAGTCACAGAAAACAAACAACTACAAGTACAAGCCACAGAAATATCACAGTAAATTTTGTTTTCCAATAACAGTTTTCTATAAATAAAATCTGTGAACATTAAAGTTTTAATGAGTACAATTAATTAATCATAGCTAAATTCAGTTATGTCCTGGACTTCTTCAAGGATTTTTAACATTTCAGCCACTCCGATAATGTCCTTTGATGTACAGTGAATAATGGTTTGTTGATAAGTAATAACTGACTTGATATACCTCAACCCACAGTGTGCTGAATGTCAGCATTCAGAGGCTAGAAACTTTATTTACACCTACAAGTTCTGAATAATGTAATTATTACAGATACTATGTTTGTCAGGAAGTGAAGGAGATTGGAGTATTTTTTTTTATTCTCCATTTAGCAAGATTTTTAAATCACAAAGCACAAATAAAGTAGATCTGGTGACATTATTATAAATAGATGTTGACATCCTACACAAATGTCTAAGACATCCTGACTCAAATACAAGTTAAGGAATGCCACACATGGTGTTCAGTTTTCCACTTCCAACATGTTGATATTTGCACACAAATCTTTTGGACAGGAATTTAAAATAGTAATTGCGTAAAAGCAGGAGGCTGGCTTTGCTAGGCACAGCCTCTCGTGTTTGCTATGGACTTGTATCCCCAGCACAGTGCTTAACTCTGAGTAGCATAAACAATGAAATGCTCGAGGCTCAAACAAACAGGCAGTGTGCAGAGAGCAGCGTATTTTGATGTAACACGTCCATCCTGGGCATGTCTTTAAGGAGAGACTGGTTTCCTAATATGCACCACTCATTGTTGTACAAGGGTGACTCCTCACTGCCTGATTTGAACTCTGCAACTCCCATAGACCCAGATAAAAGAGCTGACTGGAGTTCCTGGAGATGTCTGGACAATCCCAGTCAACTTCGAGAGTGCTTGGAAGGTGGTATTTTCCGTTTCACTTAATAAAATCTTTACTTTTGCAGCTGCTGTTTCTACAGGTTTGATTACATAGTGTGTCATTCTGTAGATTCACATGGTTAGAGGTGCTATGCAGGCACACTTAAGATGGAATACGTGATTTTGGATACAAAAGCCACATTCAAACCCAGTAGTTGTGTAAAAAGAGGGGGTAGAAAAGCAGCACATCCCAGTACCATTCACACTGCCTCTTGAAAGGCGTCAGTGTATTTATGTCTTGTAAATGTGTACATTTGACCTAAATATTTCACTGCAAATAACAGACACATTTAATAACCACGAGAGCATAGAAAACTATCAAGTGTTTTGTGCTTAAAAGCTTTGGCAAACAGCAAATTGACTTTCCACCAGAAACTTAAACACAACACTAAAACATCCGGCTGTCAGCCACCTCCCCTTTTTTTATTCTTTTTTTTTTTCAGCCACCTACCTAATAACATTCAGAGATCTGAATGAGCCCTCCTGAGCGCCAGTATTTACTTTATTTCCTAGTTTAGCCTTATTTGTATTTGCTCATTTATCATGGCTGTTTTCTTTAGAATATTTTTGTGCCTCCAAGATTAGGAAATGTATTCTTTGGAGGTATGGTGTTGGGATACATGGATATTGTACCATTTTGAAATGATCTAATTTGTTTCTTGGCTTAAGCAAAATGGAGCAAAAAGAATACACTTCAGCAGATAAAGATTAAGTTTTTTTTTTGAGCCTTAAGACATGGCAGCAAGGCAATAAATGGAGGCAGGTGTTACATTCCTAGGTGTAAAGGAACTGTTTGGCCTCGTCTCAGATGAGATCCTTGATAAACAGGCGCTTCAGAGGTCTGCGCTCAGGCTGCCTTATTATTGGTTTCACTTTCAAGGAGAATAAGACGCCACCATAAAAAGGATGCTTCAAACTGGCATTTTTGCCTCTGAGTGTCAAAGACTAGAGAGACAATTTTCTGAAGTAACAGAAGATCACCTTCAGTGTCCACAAGAAAATCTTTTACCTATCTTGAATCAAGCAGTCCAAAAATGGAGCTCAACTATACAATAACCAAGCCAGAAACTACAAAGGGCTCTGCGCCTGTCTTTGGTTTCCGAGATGAGTTGCTTCTGACTGCATCCTGCTGCTTTTTCATGCCCTTTCTTGTGTGTGTGTGTGTGTGTGTGTTTGTGTGTGTGTGTGTGTGTGTGTGCGTGCGTACGTGTGTGTGTGTGTGTGTGTGTACGTGCGATTAGGGAACTGAGATCTGCCTCAATGACATTCATGTATGCATTTGATGTCAAACAGTCTAAATATTTAAGACATCATAGGACAAAGGGAAGAAATCTGGGAGTAGTCACAAGACGCTGGATAACTGATTGATTGTCCTCACTGACTCAAGTTTGCATCATAGTGTAAGTGCTTGCATGCACTTCTGCACATGTGTCTGCAGGATTGATTAGCCGCGTGTGCATGCTTATGAGGGGATGGCTGCCGTGTGAGTATGGGCAAGTGCGTTCTCATGCGGGTGACAGAGAGAGAGATCTCATAAATATATATATCATGTCTTCTGTGTGCACACGTCACTGTGCGTGTATGGTTCCACGTCACCCTGTGTGCTCGCATCACTGTGTGCTGCTGTGTGTGTCTTAGTGTCTTCGCTCATGTCTAAACGATGAAATTCATATAAAAAAATATCAAGGCGAGGATAACATTTGGATGCTATTTGGATGACAGGAAAATCTTGGCCTGGCGGTGATATGCCTTTTATGCCGTCATTTTGATGGTCAAAAAAAAAATCCTTCTCAAATTCACTCTCTTTTCTTGTTCTCACTTCCTCACAGACAAAAATGCCACACTGTTTTTCACAAGCTCTCCTGCCAAATTCCAACTCTATCCAACAAATGCAGGCGTCTCAAGTCAACTTTCTATATTGGAGTCTAAACCAGTGATTTGTACACCAGAGGGTACTTCTGCAGTTGCCAAGGGGTACTTGGAAATCTTATTAACTCAACTAAACTAATACACTAATCTATCCACACATTTCTGTTAAGAGGGAAAATTAACAGGCAAATAAGATAACAAATTGGTGTAATGCTGATCATGACTATACCAGTAAACTGACCATCAGCCTGAGTCAGTTATTGTATAATTGTCACCACTTATTGAGAGTCTGTGTGAAAGCTAGTTAGCAAGTGGGCAGATGAGTTGCAATAGGCCACTCAGCTAACAGTAATGGATAAACAATTTTGAGATACTTAGCTAAAGGCAGTCGTGGAACTGGGGGGGGGGGGGGGGGGGGGGGTACACCAATCCAGGAATTAAAAGTAAGGAGAGGACAACTTTAATACTCAGATTTTGGAAATCTAGTCAATGAAACAAATATAATTTATTGTGCTTGAATGCATCATGGATCCAGCTACAATCCATACAGTCAATGGGAAGGCGTGACATTCAAGGGTCCCCAAAGCAACGTTTCTGTGTTTTTGTTCGCTACCCGCTACAGGTATGCTGGCAGCTGCAGTGATGTTGACAGGCATTGATTAATACTTATAAGGGCGCAGAAAATTCACTGTCAACGCACCTCATTTTTCCTGTGATTAGGCTAACGTTTCATAGTGAATAACAAATCTGTGTTGAAATCATAGAAATCCTGTTCTCAGTTAGCTCCTATATAAATACACACACACACACACAGGGAGCAGTCAGTGGTCAGCAGAGCAGAGAGGCCACGCTGGAGAAGTGAACCAGGATGAAGATAACTCCAAGATCACTCGAGTTGATGACAATTATGCTCGGTGCTGTAAGTCCAATAAAACCTACAAGTCAATTCTTAATCAATACACCTGTTAAACAAGTATCAACACATTTGGAACGCGTATATAGTTTATAAAGTATACACTGACCTTGCTGTTGGAAACGTTGCTGTTGCTGCTCTTGAAGCAACATTTAGTTATATTTAAAATATTAAATTGTAATCAAGTTCTGAATTTATTCTTCGTTGTAACTTTTTTCTTGATGACTGAAGCTAACGTCAAATAACTTACATGTAGAGATGATGTGATAAAAGGACAGAGAGTCGTTGGATTACACATCAGGTGAAATATATTTCTACATGGAACATAGCTAAGTTATGTAGCTAGTAGCAAACAAGCAATGAACTTTAGCTAGCATTACCGCATTAACGAGTTGGTGACATATACTGTGACGAATGATGTAGTTCAATGAAGGTTTTCACACAAAACAACATGCAACTTTCCTGTTTTATGACAAACTGCAACTTACTTGATGGACAAAATTATCTTTTAAATTGACAAACATCATATGTGTAATTCAGGGCACAGTTCAAACAGGTTAAAAAAATCATGCAACAGTGGAGTGAGACTGCATTAAGTTTGATTCCTGTAACCAGTTAATTTATCTATTCTAATTTTTCAAAGATGTGATGAATTGTATTATAATTAATATAAAATATAA